ATWTGCATGCCAGTTATATGTAAAGCACTAATCGTTTTGCACTAATTTGGTTTGGGTAGGCCTGACCTATCATATTACTATCGATTTGAATCGATATTATTATCAATTCAAAAGTATCTTATTAGATCAAAAGTATTAAAGTTTGTGAAGACAAAAGTTAGCATTTTTCCTTTTCAATATTGTGATATTGTATCACTTGGTATACTTTGCATCAGTGTTGTGGTTTAATTTCTTATTGAAGTTTTTAATATCAGTTGCTAGGCTGCTTTGTTTGTTTTATTTACAATTACAAGTTATTCATTGTTACTGCTGCAATGTTTTTCCTGTCAAAAAATAAATATCACTAACCTTTGTCCTTACTGTTTACCGTGGTTAGTTTCCATCTATTGTTTTTTGCAATAATCAGTGTCTTCCCGGATGAGTCTTAGTTACTGCTTGTTTCTCACAGGAGAACAGGAGCAATGTCAGGTCTAGCCAAACCAGATATTCCACCAAGACCTGCAACTCTAGAAAGAAAATCTTCTCATTCTACAGATAGAAAGCCTAGATCATCGTCTTTGCAAGGCACTGGGTGTGTGTTTGTTGCTTTACTTCTTTTCTCTTATTCTAAAGTTATTGTTTAAGCACTTTCAAATCTCAAACTGCAATATACTTGCATGGCACTTCTTAAACAACAGGTTTAAATAATTGTAACACAATGATTGATTGAATGATTGATTGATTCATCTGGGATTGATGAAATAACTGATTTATAGACCCCTTGCAGTTCATGGGAATGCAGCTCCAACTGGAGGACAAAACAATAGATTCTAGTTCCCAAGAGGATAAAAATCTTTTGTTTTGTCCTCCAGATGAAGCTGCTTTGACGTCACATGCAAGGGGTCTATAGATTGGTTGATGAATTAAGTGATTTTAAAAGTGTCTTAAATTGATATTGATTTAATTTGAACTCAATGATGTGGTTTCGTCTTAATATAGAATGGCTTCAGGAAGTTCATACCTCAATAAACAGGTATTTAGATAAATTACAGTATGCTACTAA